GGTTTGAGTGTGACACCGGCACGCCCCGCCCGGCGCAAGGGGACGGGTTTGAGTGTGACACCGGGGTGTGCCCCGGCCCGGCCCCGGGGGGGAACACAGACCCCAACATGGCGGCCACCAGTGGCCGTGCGGCGGGGCTCGGTCCGGAGGGCAGCCACATTCGGGCGGGCCCGGTGCGGTGCGGCAGCAGCCGCCGCCTCCTGTGCCCCGGGAGACCCCGCTCCGCCACTGCTGTGGGACGAGCAGCTCCGGGCTCTGCGGTTCCCCCGGGTTCCCCCCGGCCAGGCCCGGCAGTGACCCCGCAGCCCCGGGGCGGGTGCGGGTGCGGGTCCCGCCGCCGGCAGCAGGGGTCAGCCGGGGACAGGGCAGCGCGCACCGAGCTCCTGCTGCGGCCCCGGCACTTCCCAGCGACGGGTTCCCGTTAGGGGGAAACGAGAGGGAATAAAGGGCTGGTTTCTGCCTAAAAAGCACAGAACCCCAGCCTGGTTTGTGTCAAAGGGACCTCAAAGCTCCTCCAGCTCCAACCCCTGCCACGGGCAGGGACCCCTTCCACTGGAGCAGCTTGCTCCAAGCCCCTGTGTCCAACCTGGCCTTGAGCACTGCCAGGGATGGGGCAGAGTCTTTTGGTCGCTCAGACCCGACCCCATCACTGCCTACCGAAACCTAAGTGACAGCGAACCTGAGTCCCTGCTCTCTGTACGCAATGAGCCCTCTGCCATTGCCTCGGAGATGGACCTGCCAAGTGAATTGCTGCATGAGGCAGGGCTGGGAGGCACGCCTGTGCTGGTGGATCAGTGTGAGAAGGTGCGCGTTAACTCAGGCTGCCTCCTACTGCAAGCCATTATAAGTCATGAGGGGGTGCAAGGTGCCTGAAGCACCCGGGTCAGACGTGCTCAGAGCTTCCCATCTAAATTTACCCGGGACACAATCAGTGACAGTGACAAAGGGGGCGGGAGGAAAGGGGCACGGGAGGAGGAGGGTGGCAATAATGGGATTACACGGTCACTTAGGTCCATTGTGTGCCTGCCTTTGGAGCGCTGCTGGTCCATTGTGTTTGCCATGGGTGGAGGAATGACTCAGGGAGAGGAATGGGGCAAAGAGCACAGCGATGGGGCGAGGGGAAGGCAAACAAACAGGGGTTTGAGTTAACTGCGCTGAGACACAGCACAAGCAGCGGGTGCAGGGTTGGGAACCTGGATGCTTTCCCTCCATGTGTATATCAGCGCCATTCCCTGTTGCTGGAGACCTGTTTCCCACCACTTTATCCCTGGCCACAGGTGTCTCCAGCTGACCCAACCCCAAAAGGCCGATCTCAAAGTGCACCCGACTTCATTCATCACCCTTCAGCTGGGTCCTTCCCTTCACTGCACAGCTCCATCACTGGCCACAGCCTGGAGCCGCAGCAGGAGCTGGGGATGGAAAAGGTTCAGAAGCTCCGGATGGGAATCGCTGCTCCTGCCATAAATGGCCCAGCACTGGGCCTGGCACCTCCTGCCAGCACCACCCCGATGCCGCTCCCTTGTCCTCGCCATGAGGTGAGCACGTCCCAGGTCCGAGCCTGGCTCATCCCTGCTGCCGCTGGCTCCTGCCAGGCTGAGCTTTAAGGTCCCTTCAGCCCAGCCCAACGCAGGCGGTGGTGCTGTGATGAATGAGCGTGTGGGCAGGATCTGGTTACTGCAGAGCAGCTCTGCGCTGCGCACGGGCTCAGCCGCTCCGTGCCATGCCCACAGCAGCAACCATAAAGAAGGCTCTTATTAAATGAACCTGCTAAGACACAGCTCCCGCAGGGATGGTCGGGAATGGGCAGATGACACAAGCAAGGACCAGCAATAACCATGATCCCCATCTCATCAGTGCGGGAGATGGATCCTGCCTGGTGCTGTGTCCAGCAGGGACGGCAGGCAGAGGTAACAGGAGCATCCCCACGCTCTGGATGGAGTGAGGAGTCTGGAGCATCACCGACAGATGCCAGTGTGGGACCGCACCCCAGCCAAAGCCTCCCACCCCAGCCAGGCCTGGGGCTGCCTGGTGCAGGCTGCCCATCGCTGTGTCACCAGCGACCTGCTCCCTGCTGTGATTCAGTGCACACCCCAGCTATAAAGCAGGCCCTGCTGTGGCAGGAAGCCTGCAGCAGGCTGCTGGGCCTGGTTTCACCTCAGTTACCACCCAGCTGGGACATCACTTGTGTAAACACAAGCAAAAACAGCTTCAAAGAGAGAGTCCTTTCTCCTTCTCCTCTCCAGTGCTGCTGCCGATCCACCCATTGTGCCTTATGGAGTGCGGGGTGGCAGGGCAGGGCTGGGACTGGCTCCCTGGGGCTCTTTGTGTTGGAATTGACCTCAAAGCTCCTCCAGGTCCAACCCCTGCCACGGGCAGGGACCCCTTCCACTGGAGCAGCTTGCTCCAAGCCCCTGTGTCCAACCTGGCCTTGAGCACTGCCAGGGATGGGGCAGCCACAGCTTCTCTGGGCACCCTGTGCCAGCGCCTCAGCACCCTCAGAGGGAAGAGCTTCTGCCTTATCTCCAACCTGAACTCCTGTTTCAGTTTGAACCCATCACCCCTTGTCCTATCGCTACAGTCCCTGATGAAGAGTCCCTGGGGACTCCTCTAAGAGTGCATGGGGCTCCTCTAAGCCCGTCCCCGTGGCCTTGAGGCTGCGGCTTTATCTGTCTCTGCGCAGGTTCTCCTGTCCACAGACACCCCAGAGCCTTCCCAGGGATCCAGTTCTGGGATGTGCTGCTGTGCTGGAGGCAGGGCACATTGGTCCATCATCTGCAACCGCAGCTCAGAGCATGGGCTGTTACTGATGCTGCCCTGCGCTCCAGTGCAGCCCCTTCTGGGAAGGATTAACGGGCTGCTTGTGCTGGGGAGCGTGCTGGAGATCCACGGGTCACCCGGGATTAGCCAAACACTTCTCCCTTCTCCTTTGTCTCATAAGAAATAGATCAAAGTGATCTGTTCATCCAGCACGGAGTCCAGATTGAATAAAAACTGCCTTTGGACCACAGAGGCGCAGCTGAATATGGAGCAAGCCTTCAAAAAGAGCTGGTTTCCCCCCGTGTTTCCCACTGAAGCTTCAACAGCCAAAGAGCTAAATGAGGATTTTTGATCAAACTTGGGTTTCCTACACAAACGTGGCCCAGTGGAGAGGAAGAGAGGTTGGATCCTGTGATATTTCCATGGGACGCATGCCACAAATACAGCATCAGAGCCTTTAATCCAACTCCATCACCACAGTTTGCAGCAGCTACTCCTGTGTCTTCTGCAAACAGATCCCAGGTAAAATCCCCCATCCCTGGCCGAAGGATGCCATTTGGCCTTGAAACCCAATTTAATGTCCCTTGTTAAAGAGCTACCCATGAATTTGGGGGCTGCTGTGGGACTCCCACCCCTGACCCTGTGGGGATGCTTCTGAGTAGAGCTGCTGTGTCCGAGCCCACCCTGCAAGTCCCCATCCCCTTCCACAGAGAGCATGGATCAGAGGGAAGCTGGCAATGAAACCTCATGAGGAAGCACTGGGGAAGGATCCCATCCTTCCATGCAGCCATTGCCTGGAAAGGTTTCAGTTCCCCCTGGGGTTTTTGAGTTCAGAAACGCTTCAGACATTTAATTGTGCCATCAGGAGGCATTTCTAGGACAAGGCTCTCAGTGGCCCTGACACACAAACAGAGTCAGTTACCCTGCAGGAGAAGCCAGGGCGGCACAAGGAGGGGACAGGAGCAGTTAGGTAACGTTCTCAAAGTCAAAGCCTTGTCCTGCTAAGGATGGAGGGGAGGAGTGGTACCTGCACAGCCTCCTCCTGTGCCTCACCCCAGCACCAACACACCCGGCTGCCCCCCGCAGCTCCCGTGGGCAGCATCCTCCCCAAGTAATCACTTCCCAACTCCCAATCTCCCCATTCTCAAGTCTTGAACCCCCTTGGGAAAACGGCCCAGGATCCCTCCTGTGCCGCGCTCACCCTGCGCTGCCATCAGCCCCTTCCTGATGCTCCAAGCTCCCCCATCGCCCTGTGTCCCCTGCGTGGCCCTGGTGGGAGCCAGGCCGTGCGCAGAGGTTTGTGGAGCTGGTTACTCACATCTCCAGGGGTTCCCGATGTCTTCTGTTGCTGGTGAGGGGAGCGATGCTGCAGCCTGGCACTGCTGCCTCCAGCTGCACCCAGTGTTGAGAGCGGCTGGTAGCAGCTGTTAGGGAGCGGGTGATGATCTCAAGCCAGTCTAAGGTTAAAGCCCCTTTACAGCAGGTGGTGACCGAGGTGGCAGTGTCTTACCTCTAACCTATGCATCACTACAGAAGGGACAAACCAACCCAGCAAGAAACACTTTTCTCTTCCGTGAGCCTCCCCAGGCTTAGCCACGGACAGCAAGAAGCATCCCCAGGCCAAGAGCACAGCCTGGGGCTGAGCTGTGCCCTTGGAGGAGAGCTGGGGAACTCCAGGGGGGATCTGCCTATGGGTTTACTGCACTGGGGCGTGCACAACGTGTCTGACACGAACACTGAAAGAGAAGAGTTGACCCACGCATCACTGCCCTATAAACGCTGCCGGCCTTGGGACGATGCTGGGTTTACTCTTCACAGTTACCTCCTCTCCGGTCCCCTCACCCCCGGGCAGGGCTGGGAAGGACACATGGCCCATACAAAGCCAGCGCATCCCAGCAGGCCTGAGGCACGAGAGGAACAGCAAGGCAGCAGCTGGGAAGTTCCTTTCCATTTGGCTAAGGCACAAACATCTCGCTCGGGTCAGGAACCTCCCAGCAGAGGCTGTGCACACCCAGCAAGGAGGTGGCACCGGCTCCAGAATCCCAGCTAGCGAGGGTGCGTTGCTGGCAAGGGATTGATTCCGTTATCCTATGCTTTGATAATGCATTGACTCCAATTCATCCATCACCCATTATTCCTTTTTTTACATCAGAACCTTTGAAGTTCAGGACTCCTAAACCGGGAATGTTTCCGACAGTAACCTCCTATTAATGCGCAGACCTGGATCCATAAAAAACATAACCAAGGATTTTATACACTTTATTAAAAGATCCAAAAATAAACCAATAACAATAGAGAAGTAACATACTAAAATGAGTAGCATTATGCACAGTTCTAAAGCACGTACAAGCACTACAGCAATATAACGTGGCCGAAAGGAAAAGAAACTCAAAGCGTACACCCTGTTGTAGCAGTTGAGGGAATGAACTATGGTGTTATGAACTGGAACACTGCATTAGCCTACGCCTGGGTCTGAGGAGACTTGAACTTCTGACTATTCCACAGGGCTAACGGTAGTATTTGTATATATTCTCTAACCTATACCATTAAATTGATATCTAATGTTTCCCTTACTTGGTTTTGCCAGAAATGCCTATGAAAAGAAGGTACTTCAAGATCTACTTTACACAGTATAAATGCTTTTCTATATTGCGATTCAAACCGGACAATTTAGGAGAACATTCTCTCGTTGAGTTTAGTGATTGCCTAAAACACAATTCTCTAGAAGAAAAGAACCAGTGACCTGTTGTCAGGTGATAGAATAAAGAGTGGGGAGTCTCGGCTCATCGGAATGGTTTAAAATGAGGACAGAATTAAAGCAAAGCTAATTGGAAAGAAAACAACAAAATCCCAGAATCCAATCTATGAATGGTCTTATCATCCCCTCATCTGCTAGGATACAAAAGCCATGGCAACAAAATCATTTGGCTTCCACCACTATCAAATAGCATCTGTGTACAGTAATAAAGAACTGGAACCTTGTAATTCGGTGTCAGGTAATTCTCTCTGTTGTGTGTTTGGAAAAATAACTTCCTTTTATTTAATAGTTGTGTTATTTTTGCATGTTGAAATAGCTCATTTGAGAGGCAAATGGAGTTATTTCTGATGATACAGGATGTCAGTAAAGATCACTAGCAAAGATTTTAGAGGTGTTTTTGTCATGATCATGCTCATCCCCAATGCAAAGGTTTGACCACCTACGATTCATTTCACATAGTGCAAAGGATTTTTCTCTCACAATCCTGGAAAAGGGAAAGAACTTGGTTATGGAAACAGATTGCAGCAAAGTGAGGCCTTGAGAGCACGGAGATTAGAATTAGCTGGTTATTTTGTATTAAAGCCTGGGTTATTGTAACACCCATAAAGAAAAGCAACATCTGATTTCCCACCTTAAAGACGCTGGGACCGTGCGATGCTACGGCTCCCATTCAGCAGCCCCCACCTTAACCAGCCCCCTGGGGCCACGCGGGCTGGTTGGGCACTGGCTGACATCGTGAGGAGCTGGAACCTCTGAGATGCCGGCAGTGGTGGCCAAAGAGCAGCTCCTGGTGGGGACGCCTCAGCCCCAACCCTGCAACAAGGCTTGGGCTTGGCAGAAAAGGTCGGAGAAGCCCAGACCAGTTGGGGCTGAAGGGACCTTAAAGCTCATCCAGCCCCAACCCAAGCCCTTGTGTCCAACCTGGCCTTGAGCACTGCCAGGGATGGGGCAGCCACAGCTTCTCTGGGCACCCTGTGCCAGCGCCTCAGCACCCTCACAGGGAAGAGCTTCTGCCTAAGAGCTCAGCTCAGTCTCCTCGGGCAGGTTCAAGCCATTCCCCTTGCCCTGTCCCTACATCCCTTGTCCCAAGCCCCTCTCCAGGTTTCCTGCAGCCCCTTTAGGCACTGGAGCTGCTCTAAGGTCTCCCCTTCAGGAGCCTTCTCTTCTCCAGGCTGCCCCAGCCCAGATCTCTCAGCCTGGCTCCAGAGCAGAGCTGCTCCAGCCTGCTGGAGCATACTTATTCCAATGAAAAGAAATGGGTCAACACAGGCACTTCAGCTCCTCCACAATCCCCCGGTACTGCAGAGCCCCAGCAGTACCACAACACAGTGGAAAGGGAACCAAGAGGCTGCTCAGCAGAGCTGGGGAACCACGGCTGTGCTTTCCTTTGGCGGCCAACACAACGGGGCTTTGTCAACCTCCAAGCATGAAGCTGGCCACGATGCCACCATCAGCCTCCACCTGCCTGCCCCGACAGCCCTCTGGCAGCACCGAGCCACGTCGTGCTCCCTAACAAGCACCGCTGCTGTTGGACAGCAGAGGAAAGTGGCCCAAGGCCAACCACAGCCACCCCTGTCCATCCGCTGCTCATCAGCCCCTTCGATTTGTGACCTTGCCCCATAAAGTTAAATAAAAAGAAATAAATGAGTAAGTTGTGACATTTCCAACTCCCTCTGGGATTTAAAACACTCTCAGCAGTGACAGCCACCTCTAACAGACAAACACTTCCACTAGAAACGGGATTAGGCGCTAGGAAAAAGGCTTGTGTGCCACCACGGACCTACGAGTCCTAGCAGGATTCACCCATCACAACCCATCAGAAGCATGCCCTGGGGTGTGTTTGGGAATGCAGGCTGATGGAAAGAGGAATTCAAATCTTTGCTAGTGACCTTACTATTTAATTAAGCACTGTTCCCCATTTCTCTGTGCTGCAGGTTGGAGCTGACCTGGTAGCAGTCTGCTGTATAATAAGCTATGGCAAACTACAAAGCTTTTACAACAGCAAAGCAACATCATGCTTTCAGATAAGTTTTATAGCAAAAAACTCCTCCTTTTCAAAGCCTTAGTAATACCTATCTCTTTTACAAACTTTTCCTGTATTATTACAGACTTTTTTATATTCAAAATAAGTTCCAAGGATTTCTTTCGTGGACTATGTACATAAGTGCAAAAAAGGTGTGTCTCACACATTCGTACACGAACTGAATCAGTTTAACTGCAGCATATTGGTATCTTCAACACTGTTACGGGGTCATTCCACAATATTTTGGTTCTCTTATGTACAGTTTTTGCCAGTATAAATTAGTACTAAAATAGTTCTATGCTTAATTCTTTAGCCCTGATCGTAACGCATCGTGTGAGTGCTCAGATTCGGGAGAGAGGAAGATTGCAGGCGGAGCTACAGTACTGAGACGGGTTAACTCGGAGTTGCCACCGTGTGAATGGAGCTGAAATGAAAGCAAAGACCGGTCCCTACGTGGTAAATCCAGGCTTGTGGTGGTTTTGGAAGTGAAAATACTGTGGAATAACCCTTGCCACACAACAATTTCTACAAGCTATAAAACCTGACTCTAAATCCATGTGTTGTAAACTTCTGGGCTGAAAGAGTGACCCTCGGAGCCACGGATTCAGCGTTCACATGGGACTTTGGGATTTTAAAAATACTCAATCATCTCTTTCTCTGACAGTATCGAACTGTACCTTGAACAAGCTCATACTGTTACACATCACTTCTCATTTACATGTGAAAATCTCACAAATAATGTATACAAAGGTAGCCATGTTGTAGTTTTGTTGCCATAGCAACAACAACTTAATATAATTAGTTAACAATGAATCTATCATTGTAGGAGTTACATACAAAGTTAATTTTGTTCTTAAACTGTAAACTATACAAACTAGTTATGGACTGTATTCTATACCTTACCATGCTTCGGTGTGGGGTTAGGATAGAACTAAATGGGCTGAATACATGTCTTAAAAAGCTTAAAACTTTCTCTACCCCTCCTTCAAAATTAAATTCATTAGTTACTAAAGATATTAAAAAAAAAAAAAGAGCAATAACAAAAACCTTAAAAACTAATGGCAGAGAAACGAAGAGAGATGACATGGAGGAAGGAATGAATGCATTGTAGCCTAGTAACAAGGTGGTGTAGCTCTATTTACATTTGGATTAGGCTATTGACTATTTTTCTTTAAAGTTATTACAGTCTTTAACATACAGTATATACTCTAAGGCCTTCAACAGGCACATGGTAAAATCAGGTCAATATCAAACTAAATCCATTCAACAGGAATGGGAAATTCCATTTTCCTCATAAATTTCACTTTTTTCAATTTCCATGTCTGTGAAATGTACAAGGGAGAAAGCAAAGGAGGACTCCAGTTTCCCAACGACCCTAGAGCTGCTCTCCCACCCCAGGGAGGAGAGGCCATCTCACCGGGCACACGCGGCCTCCTCCTCCTCCTCCGGCCAGCTGCATCCACCAGACACATACCCACATCCAGCGCCGGCCATCGGCATCCCGGAGGGCCCCAACGCCGGCATCTGGGCTGCTTCCATTGGGGAACACTCCGAGCGCAGTGGGAGACGGCGAGGATGGGCTGGCAAGGGAGGACCCGGTGCTGCGGAGTGCTCGGGGAAGGGGCCCGGCTTCTAGAGCGTTGCGATGCAAAAACACACAGTCCAAAAATCATCAGCTCGAAACCTCCAACTCAACAACACCCCCCAGGGCTGATTGTGAAACCATGTTCCAAATTACTAAAAGCACTGTATTTAACAAAAATAATCTTAATAGTTTTATGAATCCATTTTATTTTAAATCCCTCTTTTATTGTCTGCTTATGTTACAGTTTAGTAGTAGTACTTTGTATTGAAACTACTAACAACCTTTTCCCGTGAAAATGATCCATCTCAGCTTTCATTTTCCCTCTGCATGACCCGTTTTATCCAAGTTTCAGCATTTCTTGCATATTGTTTGCATAAGGCTGAGAGAAATGGACAAAGAGAAATCACTTTGGATAAATAAAAAATATAGGTTCATGGAAAGTGGGAAGCTTATAAAAATGTCACTAAAATTATATCGATTTAAACAAACTTACATACATCTCTTGTCAAATAAAGGATGATATTCATGCTTTTATGACATTTGTTTAGAGTCACTAACTAGCTCGGTGACTTTGTAATAGTCTATTTAGGAAATTTATAGTCTGGCGACTGGCTTTTTTTTTCTTTTCTTTCTTGAACAAAGAAAATTAGAGCAAGTTCATTGCACAACTAGCTTCAATAGTGCTACCTCAAAGCGGCATCGTTGCCGAGATTGTTTTGAATTTGGTGAAGTTTAGTGCTTCAAGCTTTTCTTTCCTTAAATTCATTTACAAATTAACTCTAAATTTGCCAGCAATATAAAAACTGTTGTGGCACCTAATAACTACCCTGAACATCCCTCATTGGACCTCTTTAATAAAAAATAATCCTTAAACACTTTTCTTTCTCTTCTTCTTGTTTTTTTTTCAGTGCTTTAAGTGTGACAGGGAAACAGCTGTATTCTAGGTTTACATTCTATGCACATCTATGCCAGATGTTGAAGTCGATAAATAGAAGAGGAGGTTACATCAAAGTGTCAAGATATACAAAAATCCTTTTAGCACTGAAAAAATTCCAACCTCCTTGAACTCAATAAAGCCATACAAGCTTGAATGCATCCTTTCTGGCTTAAGAAGATCAGTTCTGTTCTTTGTTGAGGCACTGGCACAGGTTGTGCAAAACCCATTTGTTTGATACACAAATAATTTCAAACAGGAAGTACTCAAATCCACTTTTTTCCACTAACAATGTTACGGTTTTTGGGAAACAGAAACTCAGTGGTGAAAAGAACAGGGATGTGGTCGCCAACGCAAAGGGGAGTCACTGATTTCAGACAACGCTGCTGCTTGGGGATGCTGATGGCAGGGGAACAGCTATGGACAAGTGACTGTCCAAACGTGGGGTTCATAAAGGAGATCTTGGGGGGGGGGGGGATAGTTTTCTCCCCTCTCTCAGGGTTTGCTTCAAAGCCTGATGAAGGCCTTTTTGAGCTGGGCTCTTCAAACTTCTTGCTATGAATGGCTTTCCATGGGCAGATGGTCAGGGCCTGCTCTGGGACACACTGGCTGTGCCCTACATGCCCCTCCATCACTTGCGATCCATGGAGGCACACATCTAGCAAACTATCTGTGCTCACACTGGAGAAGAGGGGGCAAGGTAAGTCTCTAACCAAGGCCAAGGAGCTTGGAAAAGAAAAGAGAACCTGTTTGACAGAATTTGGCACCCCACAGGACCACCACGAGCTTGGGCTGGCCAGCCACCCTGAAGCTGGGAGGTGGCCTCTTGCTTGGTTTCAATCACCATTTTCTTTCTCCTCCTATGGAGTTTGTGGATTTACAGCAGCAAATCCATCTCTTCCATAATGCCAATGATATGGTAGAGCTATGACAGGGATGAATTTGGTTGTATCCTCAACCAAAATGCATACTGCAGCCAGATTGTTCAGCAATACAGCGTAACAGGCTGGGCTGTCCAGGGTGCACGGGCTGGAAATCAGTTAATTCATGTGTCAGACAAGGAGGTATTGAGAACTAGCCCTTGTTGTGAGGCAAACATTGCTCTTGATCAAGTAGAAGGTGCCAAAATAAATCCACTGACCTACAGGAGCTCCATTAAGATGAATATTTATCTACGGTAGGAAGCTTATGCTGAGCTTTTTCCTGCCTTGTCACTGCTGTGTTTGCTTTAGAGGGCCAAAGATCACAGGGAAAAAAAAATCACCCACTTATGGAAAATGGTGAGTAAAGAACGCTGACAGCATCTCAAGGAGAGCCAGCTCAGCTTTCAGGCTGAAATGTTTCAGCATGCTCAGTGAAGACAAGCCACTGGGCACGGCATTACACAGCTTGGGCAAAGTCATGGCTATGGCCCGCTCCAGCTCCTCTCCAACACTGTGAGTCTTTGCCCAACTGAAGCTGTCTCACCTCACACCTTTTGCTTTTGTTTTGACTGCACCGTGAGAGATTGTGCGCAGTTTGCAGCTGAGAATGCACTTCCATGGACAACAGAACTGCAGAAATCCCTTGATGCTTACCACCAGCTGAGCCAATCATTCCCGACCCTGGGATTTTACATGCGGCTTTCCCCAAAGGGTTTCCACAATCAGCTCATTGTATTGGAAGAAATACCCTGAGCTGGACTAAAAGACAACTGTCCTTTCGCATCCCTTGTACTACAAGTTCGGACACTCTGTCTGAAGGCAAATTTTAAATGCTTAGAAGGAGCATTTAACATGAGCATCTTTAGCTGACACTAACAGCAAACTCCAGCAAAGGGCAGAACATTCCTGTGTCGTGTTTTTCCAGCACGTAATTCCTGTTTCCCACAATAACATTTTTAGTAAAAAAAAAAAACAACAACCAAACAAAACCCCATAAAACCTACAGAATATGAAAACTTAAGACATAACAATAATGAAAAGATGGTACTGAGTATACTTGATAATGATGTACACTTCCAAACAAATCAATAGACTATGATGTAAACAGAACAGGAAGATAACACTTTAAAAACAAGACAAACATTTATCCATCGATAGTATACAGTAAACCAACAGTCCGCTGTGCAGCTGCACTTCTCAGGATGGTAGTCAGAAAATGATTAAGTGTGTTAAAGTTATGTGTTACAAAAGTCTATTATAATTTCCTACTGGTATATCTCGTATATCAGAGCGCTGTTTGTTAAGTGTTTCTATAGTGCTTTTTTTTTTTTTTTTTGTCTTTTCATTTTTTTTTTTGACATTCCCATTGCTCAGTTTTTGGTTAACATGTAGGCTGCAACAGGCTTACTGTAGAGGTGGTAGAGAACGAGAGAGGGAAGAGGGGGTATATACAGAAAGGCCATGCGCAGCTTCCCACCAAGAAGTCCTGGTGCTCCATAATTTTACTGTTCAGAATTTCAACATGATCTGCTGCGAGGGGAAGAAAAAACAACAGAGAAAGAGTGAGAAGTTAGGGGGACACATCTGTGTTTTAATAAAAGCCACTCTACTAAGATACATTCACATCCAAGGGGTTGCCATTAGTATGTTGCAGAGAGAAAACATGTTATTCTCTTAGTTTGCTGATGCGGGGTGATAACATTCTGGCACCCTCTCTAATCTGCATTTAGGGCTTTCCATTTCCAGCACACCCCACACACACTGACAATACAATTAGTGACAGAGGGAGGTGGGTGAATAATAAGGCTCATTTTTGGAGAGGGTGGTAGGAGGGACTAAGGAGGGGGCCAAAGGCATCCCCAGCCCCTGTTAGCTCCTGTTCCCTTCAGAGAGCACCGCAGATTGTAACAAGAAAATCTGATCCTAAACAGCCGTGACGCAGAGGCCTAGACACAAATCACAGCCACAGAAAGCCCGTGCCCAGGGAATCCTCCTCTGGGAGCAAATGGCCTCTCCTGGGATGTACTTGTGAAAAGCCTCCCAGGGGACCCAGTGCTGGTCTCCTGCAGCTTGGCTGGCCTGCCCGGCTACCAAGGCCTCCTTAGCCCTGGTCATTCAGAACATCTTTGCTAATGGGGAGAGCTTGGTGTTCACCCCTACGTGGACAGGGGTCCACGGCCAAAGTTAGCATACATATGGTGCTTTGTTAAGGTCAGCAGAAGGAAAGATCGGCTATCAAGATGAGTAACTTCTGATGACTATTAAAGATAACATTAGTAAGCTGCTTCCCAAATTAACTGCCATCATGTAAGTACTTGCCTGTTATACGTGACTTAAGGAAGAAATGGGTTGTAGCTCTGTGTATACTAAGTGGCCTGCACTGGGCAGTTCTGGTGACCTCTTGTTGAATTGGCTGAACTGCTCTTTACCCTCTTGGACTGACAAAACAATCCAGTGATGAACTGAAACCCTCAAGGGATTTTCTCTCATGAACATCAGCGAACGCTCACAAAGGAAAGCAGTGGAAAAATGCCACTGCTGCTACAGCTGTGAAACAACACTCTGGAAGTCAAAGGGAAGGACAAACTCTTCCAGCATTCCCACTCAGAGAAAACCAGCAGACGAGGGAAGCCCAGGATCTGCAGGTAGGGTGAAGGTTATGTTGCTTGTGGCATTCATCCTGGTCTTGAACACACACAAGGACCTCTGAAGAAACCCACCGCGAGCCAGGCCCCCAGTGCAGCTGAGCTGTGCAGCACGTCTCTGCTCAGACCGAGCCAGCCTTGCAGGTGCACAGCAGCTGCTGCTGACCCAATCCTGCTTACCCCAGGAAAGGAAATATGCCACCAACAGCAGGAGAGAAGTTACACCTTTTCAGCTGACTCATTACCACAGCAGTTCACCACCAACAGCACAAATCCCTGAGGCATCTGCAGGCAGCTGGGAGCCATGCAGAGCAAGAGTAACCTGTAAACACAGCTTCAGACTCAGGGGGATGCAAGAACGGAGGCTGCCAACACCTCAAAGCAGGTATTTTAGACGCAAGGAAACACTGCTTGTTATAACCCATAGGGCTGGTCCATGCCTGTGCTGCAGCAGCTCAGTTTCTGTTGAGCTGGCAGAGTGTGAAGGCACTGGGGTCCCTCTGCCCCAGCCAGCCCCCTGCTTGGGGATGCCCTTGGACAAAGCAATCCACCATAAAGAGAAATACCAAAAAGGAACTTACTGTTCTATCGGGAACTTCTACATCTGTGAAACAAACATGCTGCTACTCAGTTCATCTACTGATAACTGGGATATCTACAGCAGAGAGAAAACAAAGAACACAACACATTAAAACATTGTCGTGAGATCCAGCTGCCCATTCTGTCTTCAGTATCAGGTTAGCAAGTACATCAGTGTCTTACAAAACAGGATCCACTCCCAAGATGTCTTTACTTTGCCTCACGTTAAGTACAACGTAGCTGCACCACTACGTATGCCTCGTGCAGTAGGCAGTGACTGTACCCAGATTTTAACTCCATAGACTACAGCTAAGACAGAAATGCCCTGAAACCATCTGGCTGAACCAGGACTCATACAGCCACAGAGCAACACTGCGCAGGAATTTCTGCTCTCTTCTCACCACCAGCACGAGTAGGAGTAAGACCTGCTCTACCTGAACATAACAACAAAGCACAGAGAAAGACCAGTGAGCTGTACTGCGAGCAGTAAAACACTGCCTAGGACTTATGCAAGGCCAAACTGACTGGAAGCCTCACGCCCTTGCACTAGCAGAAGACTAGAGGATGCCCCCTGAGATACTGCTGACGTTTGGCACAGCTGGCAGCCCCTACAGAACAAAGTGACACCCCGTTTTCTTTGCAATAGCTCCAAACCTGAGAGCATGACAAATCAAAAAGCTAAGGTTAGCACTGGGGGGGTTGGGGAATAAAAAACCCCAAGTGTCTGAAATGCCTCTGGTCTAACTGGGAGAAGCTGTGGCACACCAAACTGTCAGGAAGCATCACTAGGACGGGTTGTGCATATACAGTTCAGGACTGGTGCGGAAGCAGCCATCACAACTCAGTATCCTCAGAGGAAAGTTTTGGAGAGAATCATGGCTCGGCAGACATGCATGGAATCCTGAACACTTATGACAGTGCTACACCAGCACGTACTGCACATCCACAGGCACTTCTGCAGGGATGGGTGATGTGCTGCTGGGGTAATTGAGCTTCAGATTTGAGAGCCTCAGCCCCAACTGTGGGGGGGTTTGGGGTAGTTTTTAGAGTCCAATCTTGCACTGGGGGGAGGCCACTTTGTGTTTGCACTTCCACTTTCCAGCCGGGACAGGACATGCCAGAATACCACTGGGAAGGATGCTCAGGGTGGTATTTCTGCTTGAGACTGAAAGCAGAAGCGCTGCAGCTCCTGTGCGACCGCGCTGAGGGGTTTGCAGCCTGGTTTCCAGGCTGAGGTGAGTGCTCGGTTTTGGAGAAGCATCTCCAAGCCTGCCCATCGCCCATCCCTGCTGCGGCCCGTGGCAGGTCCCCCTCACCATCCCCTCTCACACACACACACACTCACACACTCACACGCCCGAGCCTGCGCCGAGCCGGGCGCTCCGGACCCCGCACAGGATCCGGCCCTCGCCCGGTCCTCGAGATCTGAACACGTGAAAGAAAGCCATTGAAAGGGCCAAACCTGATTGGCGGTAGCTGTTGCAGCGAAGGGGACGCTGGTGGCAGGAGTTGTTGCTGCAGACACAGTGGTGGGCGTAGCACCGTGCATCATGGGCACTTTCGGAGGGGAACCATGGAAGCGACATACGGGAGGGTGGAGCGCATATATATAGGTATATATTTTTGTTTGTTTGTTTGTTTTGGTTGGTTTAGGTAACCATGGCAACATGTGGTGGATTTGGGGGCGTGGCAGGAATCACAGCAACAAGCCATGTGACATCGTCATGAAGGACACATCGGGGCGCAGCATGCAATCACAGTGCAAAGCAAGACAGCGTTGGGAAAAAAAATAAACAAGAGAGAAGGGGAAAAGCCAATTACAATTATAATTAAGGAAAAAACCAAAACATTCTCAACACTTAGTACATTTATAAGCAGAACAATGATGTATTAGACTCCGAGGGGACACATTTCCAAAGGGGGGAGAGGGCGGGTGTGCTAGCAAAAGCCCACGTCAGCTCGCACCCGTGGGGAGTTAGACGCAGCCAGCGCGCGGTCCTCTGGCTGGGGACGTTTTGGCAAGCGCACCCCCCCGCCCGCCTGGGAAAGCTCCGTCCCCTTCACTCCCCTCCCCGTCCCCGCCAGCCACCGCAGGTACACGATGCACTTGGCTGCAGCCCCCTCCCCGGGTCTGCTGCCCCGCTCTAGCAGTGAGGATGTTCCGGGCCGGGGCAGAGCTGGAGCACGCACGGCACAGGAGCGGCGGGCAGCCCGAGGGAGCTCTCCAAGGACACAGCGTGCTTCCTTCCCACCCTAACCCTAGGGGATTTGGCAAAACGCCCCTCTTGCAGGGAAGGGGAGGGGGGGATGGATGGAGAGGGGAAGGGACCAAGAGGGAAAAGTACACAAAATGCATCTCAACAGCTACGATTTGCAGAAGGAGCATCCAAAGGACAACGTGGCAGCAGGGAGCTTGGCAGCCTCCTGAAGCTGCTTGTGCCGCAGAGCACGGGGCTGGAGGGATGCTCTGGGGTACACACGGGCATCCCCCAAACCCAGGGGGAATCTGTGGGGCTGGGGAGCTCGTGGGAAGGCCTGTCCATCCCCTGAGCCATGCGGCAGGGAAGCAGACCAGCCTTCCCCTCTGCTCCAGCAGCCATGGCCCTGGGGTGTTTGAGGGGCTCAGCTCCCTGCCATGCAAGCGGTGTGTCCTCCCTGCACTACAGGGCTCAAGAGCAGAGTGCTTAGCCATTCCTGCCAAAGCTTTCAGACCTGCTCCCCAAAAGCCCTGCACCCTTCCCAGGCCTCCTGCTCATGCCCCTATCCCTCTGGCTGAAGCAGGCATGCCTGGACGCTGGTACTCTTGTATAACCTTGGTTGGAAGATGAAAGCTCAGCTTTCACCCCCTCTGCTCTGCCCAGCAGCTGCAGAGGGGAAGGTCCCTCAAAGACCTGCACGAGTTCCCAGTAAGACCTAGATGCTGAGCCTGAACATAGTGGATCCCTGCAGCACCCATGAGCACGTACTCAGCTCTGCCACCTCACTACATCCTATGTGCACCAGCAGCAGCACCTCCTTACGGTCCCTTGTGCTTGCACGCCTGACACTGCACTAGAGAGAGGAGTCTTCAGTCAGTCCATGGTCTAAGCCCTGCTCTGGCAGAGGGGCTGACCCCTTCGCACCTTTATTCAGCCAGTCTCCTAAAATAGCCTCAGAAAGACAATCACGATTCCAAGCTCTAATCCATCTTATGCCCGATACAAAACCTAAACCAACAGGATCCTCCCTTTGCCATTTCCTTTTGGTGGATGGCTCAATGGCTTGTAAAGACATTTAAGTGACAAGTTGTTGTCTCTGCAGTAGAACTATACAGGGGTGGGAACACATCACCTTGGATTCTCTTATTAGTCACACGAAACACTGCACTGCACAGAAATTAAAAGGGATACAACCATTTAAGCCTCAAAGAAGACAGCGGAGAGCCAGTCACACCACTCAGGCACCCAGGTTCTCACTGACACATACTAACTCACAGTCTCTTTCAGATTAGGAAAAGTGGAGAAGTTTGTGTAGAGAAACCTACCAACGCTTGCAGTGGGTGTCATGCACAGAACTGACCCTGCACACCATGCATTGAAGCGTGGAAAGATGAACAAAAGGGATATTTCATTAGTGAAGCTTCAGTGTTAGATATCACTTTAACTAAAAAGCAGGTATTCTCTTTGCAGCATTCAGTATTTAAGCACATGCAAACAGATTCTGCATATTGGTACAGAAGTAGTTTAAACTCAGTTTTAAGAGATCACAGCAAACCAAATCAATTCTTGCATTTCTGGGGAGAGTATCTTTCTCCTCCCAGCCTGGTATTAGAAGATTCATCTATCCTACAAAGCAGGGCTGTCTGGGGGGTTTTTGGTATCAGGTATGTCCATTTCTTTCCGATCATGTCAGCAGAAAACAAATTGCCCTTAGAGGAACGTCACACTCATGTTAAAACCGACTTTCCAAAAGCAATTCACTCCTGCAAGCAGGCACTGGGGTTTCAAAGTCTCCAGTTTAAGCTGAAAGAGGCAGTTTTGTTCTGGACTTGAAACAATTGTAGTGACGATGCCATTTTCAATAGACACCCTGACTCCCCCTCTCCCTCCATGGGACTGATCTCTCAATAACTGAGCAGGAGACACCAGGAAAAGCAGCAGCTCACTTTGCTTCTCCTCCCCATGGTGTGAGCTGCTACGTGCCACTTCCCTGCTTCGCTTTTCAGAGCCCTGCAAAGGCTGAGACCACATCTGCAGTGTGATGCATAAGGGAAAATGGGGATGCGTAACATCAATTCATCAGAGATCCATGCTCTGATTGGAAATGTGCTGTTCTGCCCAGCACTCACGTCCCCAGACGGCACACAGACCTGTATGCATCAGCCCTGCATTAATTTCACTGCCATGAGACATGAGCAGGGGGAGTGCTGGGTAAAGCCTAATCGATGGTGCGTGTCCTTATGACAACTCTGTGACCTCGAGGAAGAGGAGCGTGCAGCCAGCAAGGGACTGGCATTCCCAAAGGTGTCAGTGTTTCCCGGAGAAGCATCTCATTTAGCACCTAACAGACCTGCCAAAGGTCAGCTCAGCCCATCCCCTTCAAGAGCACTTTGCAGAGGACACGGAGGGAGGCTACTGCATGCATCCCTCCGTCCTTCCATACACGGTTCCCCTTTCCTGGAAGAACACCTTGGCAGCTGCTGAGTTCTGAGTGTCCCCAAGTGCTCTCATAACATAAAGGCTGTGTGAGCACAGGGTTTAAGTCCTGGCTCTCTGGACTCAACACCAGACACTATCTGGTCTCACCATAGGACTGTGTCTAAGGCTTTTGGGCTGACCCCCAGAAGCAGCAAGGACAAGGTGCAGGTCCACTCTGTGCTCAGCCTGAGGGGCAGCCCAGACAAACACTCTGGGTACTTCTTAAAATACAATCTGCCAAGTGAATACAGCATTAAACATTAAACACATAGGCTGTGCATTGTCTTATGATGCTCTGCAAGGATCATAATGATACTAAAGAATGAGCTATCAACTCTGGAATATTCCTCACTCAGCCACTTGTACTAGTTCCTACCCTAAGCAGGTTTTGTCTGCCACTTGGCTGCAGTGAGCAGAGGTTAACTGGCTAGTCAGCAGTCACGCTGCCACCTCCACATTTCCATTCCTGTGTGAATGACTGAACTGCATCTTTCAATTTTACTCTGAGACCTTAAAGGTACAATGAGAGCTGGGAGTTAAATTGCTTTTAAAAAGCTCAGGCTATCATACAGCCCAAAAGCCAAGCACGAGGGAAATATATGCTTTTAAAGAGGATTATGTCATTTGTATTGACTAAAGAGGAACTGTTCCCTCTATAAGCACCATGGCTGCTGGCATACGTAGGTCACTGAGACAGAAGCTCAGAAAGATACCTCCAGCTTCAAGTGAGCAGGCATAGAGGTCCACAAGACATTTTAACATGAGTCCGTAAGCGTGCTAGGCAGGAGTCAAAGAATTAATTTGGGATTAACCATCTGAACCATAAGGAGGAGAAACAGAAAGTATGAATTCCAGAAACATGCAGACATTTCTCTTAGTCGAAAAAACCCCAAAACCATAACCAAAAGGGCTAAGAAAGGCTCTTTAAAGAAAAAAGCTCTGAACTGTAGTAGGTGAGGGGGGGGGGGGGGGAAGGAAAAGTCAAACAACAAACATGAACTTTTCATCCATTTTTAACATGAAAACTACACACCGATACTCTTGTGCTAAGGACTCTTACAAATCTGCTTATGAGCTCAACGCCTAGGTCATCAAAACGACAACTATGATGCTGGGAGCCACTTACCTGTAGGGATGAATGCAGGCTGTTGCAACTGCATGTTGGCTAGAGCCTGTTGGTAGTGGAAAACGCTTGGGTTAAAGACTGTGGTGGCACCATTGTTTTTTTCAAGTGCTGGCCTCTTTGGTAAAGGTTGAAGTGCACCAGGCGGCAGGGCCTGTGGATAAGGGAGTCAGTAAACACAAGTGGAGTGAAATGAGGGGCCCAGATGTAGATCAAACATGCATTAAATCATCAGGGGGCCTGGCTGCAAATCACCTGCAACTGTGTCAACTTAGTGAGACGGGAAAGAGAAGAGCAGCTAAGTCACAGTGGAAGGGGAATCTATTGGAAGTGGTAGGTGGCATCTATTCACTAGGTCAGCAGTTAGTAAATGCACCAGGAGGGGCAGAGTCCAGGAGGAGGAGGGGTGCTAAGGGAACTCTCTAGCACGACTGACTGGAGCACACAGGGAGAAAAAGGGTGAGGAAAAGGCAGGGGAGAGGTGATCACCTGGACAGGATACTATGAGGAACAGTTGCAGGCAACAAGCGTTTAAAAACATACCAGGTAAGAGAGGTACAACAGATTTAAACCGAAGAAGATCAGCATGAGCAACAAATGCCGTGGAAAAAGGGATGCTTGTCTTTTCCTGCTGACATGTATGTGTGCATGTGTGTAAGCGTGCAGCCAACCCTGTGTCTGGGTGGTAAAGCACTAGGTGCTGCCAGTTACATGTGTAATGTTACATTCATAGTAAAACGCATTTCCACTTGTTAGTAGAGAGGCTGAGCAACATGGTCAAGAACAGGCCTGATCCTCCGCTGCTCACACCAGTGGCACAGGTCAGCATCAGCTCATCTGGACCTGCTCCCACCCCTTAGAAGGTGGCTTCTGTCAGTTCAGTGCTGCTTGCTTGTTACTAACAGTGCAAAAGCCACTGACAGCTCTCCTCTTTTTGCCCTATCACACCACTGAGCTTCTCCCAGCCTGTCAAACCTGTTCAGAGCGGGTAAAAAAAGCAGTAACCCAACTCAGGAACTTTTCCCAGTTACTCATCATTCACCCAAGCATGTCTCAACAGCAAAGCAGTATGTCAGGTTCTCAGGAGACAGGAATGCTTCTAATGATTTACAGCTTTTCATTGTACCCGAGTAGAAAGCACATTTTCTTCTGCACACTGTGACAGAAAAGGGGCCTTTTTAATTCTGCCCTGCAGCCCTTGTGCACATAACGCTCCCACTGACGTCAGGGAGCCTTATGCACGTGGAAGTCATGCACAATCAGGTTACTTCTGCCTACTTGTTCTGCATCATGGAGCAAAGCCATGGCTGAAATAGAGTTATCCCTCCCATTTTCTGGGTTTTCTTATTAAGAGGTGGCAGTGAAGGGCAGGCTTGGAGGAGGTTTAGCTAGTGAAGGGTTGAGGCTGCAAACACACAGTATTCAGATGGAAGGACACAAGCAAAGGGATTTTCAAGTGTTACGAAGCTCAGCACACAACAGAATGTAAGTGAAAGCTTGCAACAGTTTGTCACCATCTAGAAACTGGCTTCACTTTAATTTGCTACAGGAGACTGCTCATCTATGGAATGTTAAGCAAGAGACTTCCAGGCAAAACGTTACTCCATCCTATCTCCATTCACATGGTGAGTCTGGGATAGGTTTAATATTTAAAAGAAGAAAATGAGAAGAAGAAACTGCATTTGCAAAACTGCCCTCAGACATGCACACATCCTCTGCTAATGCTACCAGGCATCAGTGCCAGCAGCAGGGCTTCATCTTCCCAGATTTCTTCTGGCTAGTACCAAACGACACCACTCAAACATGGGACAACATCAGATTGGGGCACCAAAGTCTTTGGCTTAAGATCCCTGTTTTAGAATGCGGTCTTTTAGGTACAGATCTAAGAGTTCCTATTTCTAGGTAAGTCCTCACTGGCAACTATGTTAAATCTGACTCTACCTACATCTCATCTACTTAATGGCAGCTACATGAGTGTTCCTCCAGGCACGGGGCAGAGCTGCAGCAGATGCAGACATGCATCAGAGGTGTTTTACAGGTTTACAGTGAGTGAAGAACTCGCTGCTTAAATCCACGCTCCGTACGGTGCCCGACTGCTGAACATTCCTTTTCAGATGCTTCCAAAACCTGCCCCAGAAAAAACCCTGCTAATTATAGCAAAGCAACTGTGCCAGGCAGGCACATAATGACTTCTGAGTCCTTGCTTCTTGGCCAAAGGCTGTCAGCCACCCCAAAAACCCCATTATCCCCTAACGGCAGTGCCAGAAGCACAACAGCTGAAGGCTTTGAGACCTTACTGGGAGGTACTGGCTCTCTACAGGACAATCCTGAACCCAGCACTGCAGGCAGAGGGAGCACACAAACAGCACCTGGCCATAGGACATCAAGGTACAACAGACTACTTACTCCATCACCGTCATGGAATCACAGCCTGGTTTGTGTTGGAAGGGAGCTTAAAGCTCATCCAGTTCCAACCCCAGGGACCCCTTCCACTGGAGCAGCTTGCTCCAAGCCCCTGTGTCCAACCCGGCCTTGAACACTGCCAGGGATGGAAGTCAGAACTGCCCCCATGCTGGTTACCAACCCTCTCTTGTTACTGTTTTGCAAGACAAGGCCTGGATTACATGTTTGCAACAAACAATTTAACCTCAGAGCTATCCTCCCATCACTATCTCCTGGGAGCAGACCCCACTTCCATCCCTTTGCACGTAGGGAAGAGGGGCTGGGTCTGCATCTGGCTGCTCCAGTCCAAGGCACAACAATACAAAACGACCTGTGAGAGGGCAGAGGCAGCCCCCGCTCCCTGGCATGCAGCAGAAGCAAGCTGAGCAGCTTCCTCTGAAGATTACGCACGGCTCTTATCACCGCTGTGAGTCCTTCTCTGGTGCAGCCTTCCTGAAGGGTTCAGAGGAGGTGACAGACTCCAGCAAGGCAGTGGCAAACCTTCAGATGCTTCAGGACAGGAAGACTAGTAAAAGGAACTTATCTGATGGGCTTTTGTTCAGTGGGGAGGTCAGGAGGGGAAGGGAGCTAAAGGGCTTTCCCAGTCTGCTCAGAGAGGTGGCTCTTGAGGAGGGCAGAGAGGCAAGATCCAGGTCACTGCCAGTGCCGGCTTTGGGGCTGCCTCTGTGCCAGCTATAAGCAGTGAGGAGCGAGAGGCTCTTATGTCACCTACAGCTTTAACTCCACAGCTGCTGATGTGACAGTTGGCTGAGGGTTAATTAGCAGGCAGAGAGCACAGGGTGGCAATGGGCTGGGGAGGGAGACAAGCACAGGGACCAAACCAGCAAGCAGAGGTGTCAAGAGAGAGCAACATTTGGGGAGGCAAAGAGAAAACAAACAAACAAACGAGTGAATGCATTATACAATGTATTAAGAAGACATGGAACAGGCTCATCAGCTGTTTTCATGGAACCCCAGTCTGGTTTGTGGTGGAAGGGACCTTAGAACTCCTCCAGTTCCAACCCCTGCCACAGGCAGGGACCCCTTCCACTGGAGCAGCTTGCTCCAAGCCCGTGTCCAACCTGGCCTTGAGCACTGCCAGGGATGGGGCAGCCACAGCTTCTCTGTTTCTATTTTCCTCTGTTTTGAGTGAGTTTTAGAAGTGAAGAAATGTCACTGTGGGACACGTGCTCCAGAGCTGCTCCACTGCTGCAGTGGGTCAGGAGCGCTCAGGGATCAGCACCTACAAGTGGACTTGCACCCTAGTTCTGCAGCTCCACACCATGCAGAGGTCAGCAGGAGTGCTCGTGGCAAGGGCATGACCACCAGCCAAGAAAGGAGGTTCAAGCACATGCTGAAGTGCCACCCTAAACTGGGACTGGGCCTGACCCAGTCCATCTGCCTGCACTACAGTGACTTCAGCCAAGCAAGAGTAAAGCTGCTACTTGTGCATGTCACGTAAATGCAGGACTGGGCTCCTCACAAATCCCTTCTGACTTTGGATCTGAAGTGATTCCAAATCTATTTCAGAAGGAACACCCATTTTTCTGGCACATGTATTTTTATCCAAGACACCCAAGCACCATTCTTCCCCTTATTAAAGTCTTACTCCTCAACAGGTACAGTAAATGCATCAAACCTTGAAAAGTCAATGAATAATGTAAGCTGTTTTGGTGGCAGGGGTGATGCAACAAGCCATCAATAAATATTTTAAAGGTTCTAGTTAGCAGCATACAAATAAGGTTAATCACATTTTTAACAGAAGCCAGAAGCATGAATAAAACATGTGCTGGCTTTGGTCAAGTAGCAGTGCCCTACATAATGAGTGAAAAAGTAAAGATTCAATTGTGAAGAACACAAAGAGTTTCATTTCAGGAGGTTCTTTTTCAACAAGACCTTGGCTCTTGTTTCAACAGTCATAAAAATAGTCAGAATTCTCATAAATAAACTGCAGGACAAATAAATTCTGAGTATAAATGGGCTCTTCAAATTACATTCCAGGTAACACCTATGCTACAAGGAGAGCAGTTGTTTAATTCCTAGAATCATCCTGGGTTTGCATTCTGCTTCACCATGAATGCAAAGCAACCTCCTCCTTTACTGTCCTCAAAAAAGAGGGATTCAGAAGATTTCTAGTGACTTACATCCAAAAGGAGACAAGAACCTTTTACTAACAGTTATATATAAAACCATAATGACACAACAGATGAGGCTGGAAGGGACTCCTAGAGCCCATCCAGACCAACACTTTGTTCAAAGCCCAGTCAACTAAAGCAGCTTGCTTAGGGCTGCAGCCAGGCAGGTTCTGAGGATCTCCAAGGATGGAGCAGCCTGTTGCAGTGTTTGACCACCTTCATGGTAAAGAAGCTAAAATGGGATTTCCCTTTGTACCCATTGCCTCTTGTCCTTTCACTGGGCACTACAGAGAAGAATCTGTCTCTGTCTTCTTTACCTCCCTTATGAAGAATTTATACATGTGGGTAAGATCCCCCTGGGCCTCTTCTTCCCTCCCCACTCTGAATATCCCAGCTCTCCCACTGCTGGAATAAACAGGTGGTATTAAACCAAACTCGACACAATGGCAAAGACTGGTTCCAACTGGGAATTGTATATGGTCAGTCCTCCTTGACTCATTTTCCCAATTGCAGGCATTAGAGAAGTCCCAGTTCAAATTAAAATGCAGGTGAGACCATCTTTACCAGGTCCCAAGTATCAAATGGGCCAGGAGGTCACTCTTGGTTGGAGCCTTGTAACTTCACTAAGGTACCTGGCACAAGTTTGCTAACGACAAACACCTTGTCTGCTTTTAACTCAGTGCTACCAAGTTCCAACAGGCCAGGATCTCCCTGCAAATGATGTGTTATGAGATGAGCAGTCTTTGCTTTCCTTGTGTACTGAAAAAGCTGAACTGACACCTACAACTTAGCCAGGGAAGATGCTGGTTCCAAGGGTTGTGTTCATGTCATGTCATGTCATGATGTCATGTCAGGGTTTGCCCACAGGGTTTGTCACCGTGTCTCTGACAGGCTGCACTGTGTCACTCTGGGCTTCATGCTATGGTGAGCACACAGAAGAGATAAAGAGAGGGTTTTCATACTGCACATGTTCTCAGTCAGCCATTTACAAAGCACTCTGTTCTCCCCCAAACGCCACATGCGACACAACTGAACTCTCTCAGTGATGTTAATAGAGCTTGAGCAGAACTCATGCTTACCATTGCAGCTGCAGCTGTCTGGTTCACCTGGTGTTGAGCTGCCTTGATTTTGGCTTGCAGGTGTGCAGGGGGATGAAAGTACTTGCATTTCTCCCTAGAGCATCGACCTTTGATGTAATCCATGCAGACTGTGACAGTGTTCTCATTTGTGTCTATCATTGCGATATCTATGGGGTGAGCGTAGCGGCAATCGTTCTCACCACGCGTGCAATTCCCACGCTGGAACTCCCGACACACCTTCAAAGGAAGTCACAGTGAACAGTAACTTACTCCTCAGTCAGTGTTTGAAGCATGGAGCAGCAGTTCAATTGGCCACATTAAGCCACGTGTGTATTCTACACCCATGTTTAGGCAGCACACAGACCAACCGTCACAGGCGCAACTGGTGCTACTCACAACTGGTTCAGGGTATGAAAAACCCCACAGCATTATCAGGGCCTATGACCAAGCACAAGGGAAATACAGCACTTGTACAGAATGGAAAACCACCTCAGGAAGTCAACATTGTTCTACCAGAACTTCTGGAGCTCAGGATTTGTCCCCTGCCTCTGAAGCTTCAATGTTACAACTCTGCCACTTGTGTTTAACACCTGGGTTATGTGTTTCTTATGCAGCACGCTCCTGGGTAGACCCTTTCATTCTAAATGTTCCATGCTGCTGCTATGTGCAATGAGTACGTGTTCCTAAATACGAGCAGCCTCTTTCACATCCATAATCTCACAGCCCTCCACAATAAAACCGTGGCATTAGTGACAGTGCATCTGATCACACTGCAGTGTGCTCGGGAGGTGCTGCCAGAATTGCTGGCTTTATGAAGATCCTGAAGATCCTCCTAAGTTATGACCACTGAAGCATCAAAAGCAGAGAAAAAGGTTTCCTTGTCTGAGGAACTGAGGGGAATTGCTGAGGACTACAGCTGGTGGTGTACGTTATGTACCTGTGCACTATAAGACTGAGCGTGCAGAAAGGTGAGCTGTCAGCAAGGTGACAGAAAGAACATAACACAAACCAACATGCTTTGAAATGATACCCTTCCCTGTGTTACAATTTACACCTGCAGGGATCTCTGAATTCAGGTCTTCAGCATTTATGTCCTGCAGAGCCTCTGCTTAAGGTCTGAAAGACATTTGCAACTCCTCCAACACTAAGTCCCAGCAAGCCCAGCCAAGCGTGGGGAGAGAGAGACATCTTTCCAGTGCCCTGTGCTCGCAGCTCCCAACAGTGCAATGCTGAAAGCTTTCTGCATAAGCTCAGTAAAGCCACCTCTATACCAGGGAAGTGTTTGGTACTTCCAAATCGGCTCCCACTCAGCTCAGTGAAAGGGCAAACCATCCACTTGCATTTTTAAAGCACAGAAAACAACCCCAGCCTGCTCCAGCACCCATGGCAATCACAAGAGTATTTCCATATTCCCAGGGACTTTCAAGGATTTGGGATCAGGCCCTGCATGAGAATCTGCTCAAGCATAGAGGAGCAGCCCTGTGTTAGGAAAACTGCAAGTTAAACTCTGCACTGTGCTGCATCAAGGCATTCTAGCAGCGAGCAGAGGCTGGGACCACATGCCCTGTTCATCCCCATCAGCAGCATCATATCAGACATCCAAATACCTCCAGTTTATCCGTACGCATCAGTTTCTGCCCAGCAGAGCCTCCTGGTACTGTAACAGTAGGATTTCCAGAAACCAGGACAGGAGTATTTGGTAACAGCTCTGCAGGAACCAATCCCATCCCAGGAGAAACATGACTCAGGTAAGGACTAAAAGCCATCGTGGGGCTTGTTGCGAGCGATGGAGTCACAGGAAACGTTGTCTGGGGATGGAAAGAAGAAAAACAGAACATTAGTTAAAAAGCTGTGTCTTGGATTACCCACCAAAGCCTTGCATCAAATCAATCCTTTTAGACAATTTGATTTGCAGTATCACATGGTGGGCTCTCCAATCTATTCATTTACCACCGTTTCCCTGTGATCCATTCGCTCCTCCTGACTCACAGATAGTGACTCATAGGAACACAAGGCATCTTTATTTGTCAGATCAAAGCATATTGATGATCTTTACAGTTTAATGACACAATTAAGGATTTCATGCCAGCAATTATGGCAGGCCCAAATTAAACAGACTTCTCATTCCCAAACAAATGTCTCAGCTTTTGGATGTCTACACTGCAAAGCTGTCCCCATATGGGCGCCCCAACGTAAACTGCAGCTGCACAACCTGGAAGGAGGTAACCACATCCACTATTTCACAGAACCCCAGCCTGGTCTGGGTTGGAAGGGACCTTAAAGCTCCTCCGGCTCCAACCCCTGCCACGGGCAGGGACCCCTTCCACTGGAGCAGCTTGCTCCAAGCCCCTGTGTCCAACCTGGCCTTGAGCACTGCCAGGGATGGGGCAGCCACAGCTTCTCTGGGCACCCTGTGCCAGCGCCTCAGCACCCTCACAGGGAAGAGCTTCTGCCTAAGAGCTCAGCTCAGTCTCCCCTCGGGCAGGTTCAAGCCATTCCCCTTGCCCTGTCCCTACATCCCTTGTCCCAAGCCCCTCTCCAGGTTTCCTGCAGCCCCTTTAGGCACTGGAGCTGCTCTAAGGTGAGAGACTTCTTTCCTTCTCTCCTCCAGGCTCCACTTCCAGCTCTGGGTTATAGTTAAAGCTGCTCCTGTTTGCAGGCCCAGGTGATGCTCTCCTTGGTAAGTACAGCCTCTACTTGGCAATGAACACAGGTGTGTTTACAAATGGCCTGGGGTGGGTTTTGTGGCCACACACATCATCCCCTCCTTGCTTTTGGTACTTTTAGTCCTGGGGGCTTCTAAAAGAAACCACACATGGACAATGTGTGCATCTTCATCTCTTCATACTCTGCTTGTTGCGATCTGAAAGCAGCCAGCCCACAGGAACAGCAGCCAAGCTTTTCTGATCTCTCTTTAGCTTAATGATGGCCTCTTCCTAAGGTCAGAGTGACAGCAAACAGCTCCTGAGCTGATGGGAAAGGGGATGACAGGTCATTGCCAGCACACGTCCCTCTTTCTATGCCTCAGCGAGGAGACAGCCTCCTGAATCAGCAGTGCTGGGCACTTCAAGTGTAGCAGAATAATCCTCTCCCTGGCAGAGATTCCCAATTTCCCTTCTTTTGAGTCCAAGGTAAAACCTGCTTCAGCTGACGGGAGATTTTAACCATTAAACCCAGAGAACCTCCAGTTCATGGCCCTTTCTTCTCTTCCCTCTTTCAGTTCGCTGTGGCTCCCAGACACGTTACACCTTCTGCTGCTGGAAAAGCTCTGTCAGGATCTTCAAACACAGTGACTCCCTCAATGCTTCCATCGGACTGGTTTCTTTTGTGCCTGTACCAGCAATTACAGTGGCATCTGCTGAGCTTCTGTCACCATTTGCACTGTAAATGCTCTTTTAAGGAGCTCCTCCAGCCCAGCCAGTCTGCACAGGGTTATGCTGGGGCTGACATGTCAGCCCTTCTTTTATGCACCTTGCAGCATGTGTGGCTTGCACAGATACGTGGGCAAATCTACTCTGTTTTTCCAGCACCTAATACAGAAGGAGGCTGTGTAAGGAGTCAGGAGCCCTAAGAGGAAAGGGGGATGTTTAGAGCTATGGAGCTTGTCTTCCCAAGTACCAAGACAGGCCATGGCACAGCTGATTTTGTTAACAAACCAGAAGCTGCATTCAATTTGCTCAGCAGAAAGCGTGCTAAAGCTGGAGAGCAAACACAGCATGGGTGAGAGGAGAAAGGCTGCTGTGGTGCCCAACGCAAGCACTGCCTCAGCCAGGATGTGTTGATTCCCAGTTACCTCAGACCCTCCAAAGGGGAAGCCTGAAAATGAGAGACCCAGCATAAATGCAAAGGTGTTGATGGCCTGAAGGAGGGCAGGCAGGGCGCTGCTGAGCAGCTACACACGGAAAGCACAAAACCACCAGCCCAGTGGCAGCTTTTATTACAGTCTGGTGATAGAAATGTAGAAGATAAAGATCTCACACTGACAAGGATGAAGGCCCTGCGATTGCAAGCACAATTGATGCTGGCCAGTAAAAGAAAGAAGCCTGTGTTCCCTCCAATGCAACTGCATGGGGCTGGCTGTAAAACCACCCTCTAACATGAAGGCTGAGCACACCAGAGTGAAACCAACCAACCAAAGCATCAGCTTCCTACTGCCACAGATGCTTGCTTCCTCAACCAGACCACAAAGACACACTCCCAGCTCAAAAGGCCTCTCCTTTATGGGCTGCTGTAAAGTCAGGTGTTAATGCCCCACAGCACAGTCTCTTGGCAGACATCAGCTCCCAGGTGGGCACATGTGTTTGTTCATTCCTAGCATGTCTTTGACTAGATTCTGAGGGATGGATGGGTTTCCACTGCATGGAACAAATGCATGCCCCAAGCACCTGCTGAAATCTGCTCCAACACTTGTTCCAAGCATCGCTGCCCAAGCAAGCTGTTCACGCTCTGCTTTAACCCCTCCATCAGCATCAAGGGGTGGCAGCAGGGTCCCACTGCCCCACAGGGGGCACAGAGCTGGGTTACAGGCCGGGGTATCTGCAGGGACATGGCTGATCACAGCTGTCAAGATCCTGACCGGAAGAAAAGAACACTGAATCACAGAACCAATCAGGCTGGAAAAGCCCTTTAAGCTCCTCCAGTCCAACCCTTACCCCAGCACTGCCAAGGCCACCCCTAACCCATGGCACTGAGGGCTTTGTCTACATGGGGTGTGAACACTTGCAGGGACGGTGCCTGCAGCCCTGCCCTGGGCAGCCTGTTCCAATGCCTGAGCACCCTCTGGGGCAGGAATTGTTCCTCAGCTCCATCTAACCCTGCCCTGGTGCAGCTTGAGGCCGGTTCCTCTTGTCCCATCCCTTGTTCCTTGGGAGCAGAGCCCAGCCCCTCCTGGCTCCATCCTCCTCTCAGGCAGTTGGAGGCAGCCATCAGGTCCCCCTGAGCCTTCTCTTCTCCACACTGAGCCCCCCAGGTCCCTCAGCCGTTCCCCATCACCCTTGTGCTCCAGGCCCTGCACCAGCTTCACTGCCCTGCTCTGGCCCTGCTCCAGCACCTCGGTATCTCCCTTGTAACAAAGATGATGAAGAGCTTGAAAACAAAGATGGGGGAAACAACACCCCAGGGCAGCAGCAAAGGCAGCTGCAGGCAGGAGTGGAGGCACCATCACTGTGCTGTACCCAACTGCCTGCTCAGGAACAGCTGATGCCAGCACCACACACAGCAGCCACTGCCCTGCTCCACCGGGTCAGGCTGAAGCTTTTGCTGAAGCATCTCTATGGCCAGCTCCAAAGGTCTATCCCATACTACTGCAAAGGGATAAAGCAGAACGGAGCGGGTAACAGGCCCAGGGTGCAGCACTTCTGGCATACCTGAGAAACAAGACAGAGCACTGATCAAAATGGCTCTTTATCAATGCCAGGGCCCAGCTCTATCTACCTTCAACATGACTTCTACAGTCAACAGAGACACAACCAGCCCAGAGAGCTTCCAGCACAGCTCAACCAGCAGTCAAGGTGAATTTGGCCTTCCCAAAGTCAAAACTTTACTGGAGTCTTCCTACTTGGCACCATCCTTGTGGCCTCCTCAAGGTCTCTGGCAGACAAATACACCATGCTGAGCAAATAGTGTGCGCTGTGCCCTTGGCAGCCTGGTCTGGAAGTGCTGGACGAAGCAGTCTGTTGAAAACTGCATCTCAGGCACCATCCATGTGACTCTGCACAAAGGGTCGGCAGCAACACCAGAGAGCAACCTGAGACCTCAGAGGGATGAGCTCACAGCAGCAAAGCCCAGCTCACACCCAGCGGGCTCTGGGTCAGCACCACCTTCACTAAGCACCATCAGCAGGGTAGCAGCAGAATGAGCTCTTGCTGGTGAGAAGCTCTAGCCTGGAGAAGAGAAGGCTGCGTGGAGACCTCATAGCAGCCTTCCAGTATCTGAAGGGGGCCTATAGGGATGCTGGGGATGGACTCTTCATTAGGGACTGCAGTGATAGGACAAGGGGTAATGGGTTAAAACTGAAACAGGGGAAGTTTAGATTGGATATAAGGAGGAAATTCTTTCCTGTTAAGGTAGTGAGGCACTGGAATGGGTTGTCCAGGGAGGTTGTGAATGCTCCATCCCTAGCAGTGCTCAAGGCCAGGTTGGACGAGGCCTTGGGTAATATGGTTTAGTGTGAGGTGTCCCTGCCCATGGCAGGGGGGTTGGAACTGCATGATCTTAAGGTCCTTTCCAACCCTAACTATTCTATGATTCTATGATGCGAGAAAGGCTGGTGGTGGATGTTGAGGTGCAAGCTCACAGACACACACGTTCAGTGCCAGCTCAGGAAGGGGGTGACACGCTGCTGTGCCGGGTGCTGCTGTGGGGTGGGGGTGATAGCCTGGTTTAACTCAGTAACTTTAGTGGTGAAAATGCCCTCTAAAACATCCAAGCGTTCAGCTACTGCTTGGTGCTCTTGAGCACGCTGTTCCCAATCTCGTCCCTGGCACGCGTCCCATTAAAGCAGGCATCCAGTTGATCAGCTTTCTGATCACATGGGATTTGCTCTGCTGCTGCATCTGATACAACGCTTCCTGCTTTGAAGGCTCTCCTGCATAGCCAGGAGGAGGCCCCACCCTGCTCATTTAAAGGGGAAAAACCTTCTCAGAGCCTGTTTCCACCAGCAGCATCTTTGGGAATCAAAGGCAGTTGGAAGAGCAACCTCTTGTTTGTCCTGAAAGTGGTGTGGAGCCAGTTGGGCAGCAGGAGTCAGACCCAGAGCTGGTTTACCCTCAGCCAAGTGTGGGAAAGCAAGAAGGGAGCAGTCCCTGCAGAACAAAGGTTTTACTTCTCTCCTTTTGCCCATGTCTCCCTCCTGGCACAGTGCAGAAACCAGGGACCTTTCTCATCAGACAAGTTACCTCTGCAGTGAGAGCACGAACAAGATTCGGTCTCAGAGGCGATTTAAAAGGCAGGAGTGAAACTGCAGGCGCGAACTGGACCTGCAAGGTTGCAAAATGGGAAGATGGGAACTTTCCAAAGAGGAAATCCCAAAGATGTTTTGAATCGGCACAGCCAAAGAGCGTCCACTCGGAATTCCCCACAGAGGAAAACCCCGAACACGAAGGGTTTGTTTCTGGAACAGGGTAAGGAAACAAGCGCTACCATTCTGTGGGATTCAGGATTTCTCTCTGATGTGCGCATGCTCTGGAACTCCAAGAAAGAGGTGCAAAGATCCCAGCAGATAAGAGCTTAAGCAACCGCTGTTGGGACACCCCTAGGGAAGCCAGGCTGGTGCACAAGCTCTTATGCCTTCAGGCTATTAGTGTCCTCTCAGGAGCCAGCCAGACCTCCTGTGGCGCAGCACAAGGAACCTCACCCAACAACTGCACCTCCAGTGCACACTGCCCCAGGAAAGATACTGAGCCCCAGCTTTAACTGGGGAGCTCCTCCTCAAGCTCTTGGTTGAGAACATGCAGTTATTTATGTCAGCAGCAAAGAGCTGCTGCAAGACCTCTGACGCTCCTTAAAATACACATCATGGAAGACCCAAACTCAGCTGATAAATGTCACCCCCCCAATACACCAACCAGCAGAGCCAGGCCACCCTCTCCCTGGTGTAACAGGGCTCTCCAGCCTCAAAACCTGTTCTAACTGATAAGCAAAACCAGGGGCAGGCAGTGAAAGCTTCTCTGACATACCTGCTCTGCAAACACCCATCTCCCACAGGCTTCCCTCCCGACCCGAAGAGAAGCAAATCTCTCCTGCTGCTGGTACAGAACAGCATTGCTGTGAAAGACAAGTGCCAGGGCTGCGACATTAGCACAGCTCTCTGCTGGGATGACTGCAGGGAAATGTGTCTCACTCCCAGGCATAGAAAAAAGTCTTAAGGTCTGGGTAGGATTCATCTTCCCCAGTTTTAGCTCAGCAATACAATGCATCTAGTCCAAGGGAGTCAGCTGGCCTTTTGGAAGAACTCCAGCATCCTCACCCCAATGTAAAACAGATACCTAAAATAGGATCCATTGGAATTGAGCCACTCACGACTTCTGGGATGAGTGTGAATTAACTGGTCAAGCATCCCTCCCTTCCACCTAATGCCCTGAACCTCACAGCTCCTTAGTAACCAGAGCAAAGGACCTGTGAGCAAGACGCCATGGTAGCATCAGACATCCCTCTGGAGGATGCTGTGTGACAACTGCCCAGGGCTGGGGCCTCATGAGCAAACAGGAAGGACACATGGAGCAGTGTGACCTCAACTCACTGCTGGAACTCACAATGGGCTGTAGCTGGGCACCTGGAAGCATGAACTGCATCTGCTGAGCGAACATGGCTGCGGCTGTCTTCTGCTGGATCAGGTTGTTGCGGCCGTTTATCTCGAGCTGCGTTTTCAAGTGGGGGGGAGGATGGAGATATTTGCAGTTCTCTCGGGTACACCGGCCCTGGAAAACACAAGGGAACAGCATTTCAGTGCATGTGACACAAGGGGCAGGCGCACAGGTTTAGTTATGGGTTGTTGGAGGTACTGCACCAACACAAGCATCCGAGCCGAGGCAGTTTGGTGGCTGCTGCTCCTCTTCTGTGATTCTATAGGTTTAAGTGAAGAGCCACATGACTTCTCCTGAAGTAAGACTAACCCAGTGCTATCAAGCTACACCCAGAAGCTGAGCTTCCTGATGTTATTGGTGTAAAATCCCCGGTCTAACACAAATACCGATGTTTTCAGAAACCAGCAGCAACAGTTCCAGAAACAACACCCGAAATTCCATTTCTTGTGTGGGTTGTTTCCCTCCCTCCCAACACCAGACCTGACATCAGACAGTGAGAAACAAGCTGCCTCCAGCACTGCCCTGGCTGCATCACCCCACACTTGCTCACGTCTGTGTGAAGTGGCACCATGCAGCTGGTGGGTGCTCAGGCTCTACTACAGGGTAAAAAACCTGCATTGATCTGGGAGGAGGAGACCCAGCAGCACTGGGCAGGTTTGGGTCATTCTCCTCATGGCAGCTTTTCCAGGTCCCCCTAAAGCCCTTCCCATCCCCTGGGACCCACTGAGAGCCAGCATCCGGGCTCGAAGCACTCCTGCAGCATCCCACCTCCACCACTGCTGCAGTGCAGCGGGGTGGCCATGGCCATGCAGCTGCTCTGTTCTCAGCTCCAGTCTTCAAGGGATTAACACATCAGCCTTAGAAATCCCTCCTGGTTGAGCCTGGCACAAATGCTTTGGGTTGGGAAAAAACTGCAATTTCTACCAAATTTGGAAAAACTGTGTGCGGATGTCTCTGCACTGCAGGAAAGGAGAAGATGAAAAAAAGAGCTGTTGGTTTTTACAGGCCCTTCTTCAGCTGGAAAAGGACTGTTATTCCAACTGAGATTCCGCATGCCACCGCCACCAGCCACCCCAGCTTGCTGCGAGGCTTTGTTCTACATTTTAATCAAGGCAGAGTTTGTTTAATTCCAACAGGGGGTTCTGCAAACACGGCGTGTTTATTACCAACAAGAAGTGCCCATAAAGCACGACCTTGATGCTGCAGAGCTGTGAGCAGAAACCACTGCTGCTGGTGTGGGAGCGCTACTGGTTTCAGTGAGGAGCTGTGTCTGGAGGACCCGAGCCCTGTGCAGATGCTGCTGCAGAGCATGTGAAGCGCAGCACGGCTGTCGTCAGCCTGCCAGGGCTCTAGGAAAGCTGAATCACTCCCATGCAAACCCACACCTTCAGCCCAGCTCCTCCTCACCATCATTTTGATCCTGAGCAGCATCAACCACTGTTTCACCAGGCCAGGTTAGGAGCCACAGCTGAGCTGGGCTGCTCACCAGCACCACAGAAGGTTCTCCATCTCTCAGACAAGGAATTTTAGGAACTGATGATGTGAACAGAGTGTTCCCAGTTCACACATCCGGATACAAAACAGCTTCCAAGGGGTCTGGCTCTAAAGTGATGGGCACCTCTGGTATCCTCTGAACCCCAGCACTGGTGGGGTGATCCCTTCCACACTGCCACCCACACTTCTCAGTACTCTTCAGCAACACGTACGCTCCTCAAGACCAGTTTCAGCTCTGTGCAAGCTGCCAGAAGGACAAAGAACTGCTATTATTCACTTCTCAGTACCAGCTGCAACACAGCAGGGAAACAACAGGGAACGGGTAGCAAATCTGCTGTGTGAATACTGGGCTGGGGACAAACGAGGACAACTCTGTTTTATGCCTCAGTGACCTAGGATGCAATATGGGAACATACAGTAGGAATGAGGCCCCTAAACCTCAGATTGAGCATCTTCCTGCTAAAAGGCACAGTTTGGCTGCAGTGATTCGCTGTGGCTCCAGCACAGGGCACAGGACAGCTCCAATCCCTGCAGAGATCAAGCAGAGAGTGTGGTACCCAAGAGCATCATCCCAGCACCTAAGTGGGTCTCTGCATGTGTCAGGAAGGGGCACAGTGCTCAGAGCCTGATCTGTGCCAGCACACGGTGTGCTGAGCCTGCTGGGACCAGTGCAGCATCCTGCTGTAACTAGAGGAGTTGGGTGCTGCTGGTTTAGCCCAAACATTGCCTGCAGGGAAGGCACATTCCCACCCTGTCCCGTGTGGCACGTGAACTTGCAGGCAGGGAATCACCACCCAGCAACAGCCTCTGCTGCTGGCCCTGGTAACACGCTAAATATAGCTGTATTCCTAGCTGCTAGCAAAATGGAAGGAGTCTGAAGGACCATATTCGTCAGCTGCTTTGCCAACTACAGCCAGGAGGGAAAAGCATATGGACAGCGCTTCCCAACGCTTGAAACATGGCTATTAAAAATAAATCATTAAAGCATTCTATAAGAGTCTCTCCCCCCCATCTTCCCACACACTCCCCACCCTTACAGTAGGCTGCTGGCATGTGATTTGACTCTGTGGTGCCAACTCCAGTCATGCTGTGATGGCGCATACTGTAAGTGGCTGGCATCTGACATCAGCTAAGGTGACAGCAGTGCCACAAAGCCAGCTGCTCCAAGTGCAACACTCATGGCACACACTTAAACCCAGTGGAAAGACCTGCGTTACACTTGGCTGCTTGGAGTCTGCTGGGTTGCACTGTGCCAGCTGCACCCCAACCTGGAGGGATGCGGCTCAGAGCAGGCTGGGTGCAGTGCCAGGCTGGGGGAGCCTGCCCTCAGCATGCTGCTGAACAAGGCTGCCAGCACCCACCAGTGTGCACCAGCACTACAGTTCCTTATGGGCTCTTTAATCCTGGACACTGGGAAGAGGTTTCAGAGCAAACACGTTTCTGGTTTCAATGACTGCACTGTGTGTCCTGTCAATCACCAGCAGCTCTCATGTGCAAAGCTTTAAGCTAATGCTGCTTTTCAGACGCTGCAGTAGGCTTGTGCCCCAACTGTGCTGTCTTCACAGCCACTGATGACATGTGCAATGACTGACAGCAAGAAGAATTAGAAGAGACCAGGCAGGAAAGGATTTCCATGTTGTGCACAAAGCCAGGCACCAGAACACAGCTTGCCAACGCAACTTCTCCCTGCGTGAAGCAGCACATTTCCACCCCCCCCAGAGGAGCCCATGGGGAGGCACATTCAGAGATGCGCTGGCCCTGCTTACTCAGTGCCTGGCACTCTCTGCTGCCCATCCCCACTCACACAGAGGCTCCTCTTTGAACTTCCCACCTCTGGGTCCAAGGAGCCACCCCCCTGAGGCTGTGCAGGCAGATGGGAGCTGCTGGAACCGGCCTGGGTGTTCCTGAAGCCAAGCTCAGCTCCCTGCAGTCACCAGAGAGCTGTTCTGAGTGATGCTCTGAGTGCAGCAGCAGCATGTCTGCTCTGACCCAGGCTGTGCAGGGCATCAGGGACATGTCTCCTGTCAGGGTACAGAGGACAAGAGTCTGACCTGCCTTTGTACACAGCTTCAGTGGAAAAACCAGAGCATCCATTGCATGTTCCCAGGGCCATCAGTGCTGAAACAGCGACTGGATTTCATGGCTTCAATGAATGTTGGGTCAAACCCTTTCTGAGCAAGCCTAGGCTTGATTTTGACTTGAAATGAGGCAACCTTGATGTTGTCGAATGGTTTGGGTTGGAAGGCACCTTCAAAGCTCATCCAGTCCAACCCCCTGCAATGAGCAGGGACATCTTCAACTAGAGCGGGTTGCCCCGAACCACCTCCAGCCTGGCCTGCAATGTCTCCAGGTTACACATGATTTCAAATGAAAGCAGTGACTTTCAGCAGCTACAACAAGAATTTGGGGTCCTTTTGAACCAAGAGCTCAAAGCAAAGCTCAGTGGCATGTGAAGTGGAAGCTCCTAGAGCAAACCATCTGCACAGTCCCAGCCTGCCCAGGTGTCTTCCTGCAGCAGTGGGGCAGAGCCCTGGGAGGTCAACCAGCAGGTAACAACTGTAGGTGTATGGGCTTTAAAAACAAGTCATACTCCTCTGCAACCTAAAGAGCAGGCAGGTCAATACAGGCACTTCAGTCCAGGTAGAGTGTAAGTCAGTGTCCACTGAGCTGGATGCAAAAGGACTGGGAAGCAGAGACCAAAATCCCTGGTTCTCGGACACCAGAGCTGCTCCCCAGCCTCCCTGCCTCACGGGCTGACTGCTCTGCTGGGAGCTGGGAGGAAGGACAGGAGGAAGAGAAACGTCAGCATCATTTCTGCTGTGTTCAAGCGCAGCAAGAAGCTGCCCACAGCGAGCTGAGGGACTGCTGAGCCAACACTGCCCTGCTGAGCCAGCAGTGCCCTGCTGAGCCAACACTGGCCTCCAGTACCACCTCTGTCAGCCCAGCCAACCCCTCCACAGACACAGACAGGGCTGGAGAGCCTGGCCTCGGTGTGCTGCTGGCTCTGGCTGGGCTGATGCCCTCTCCTCCATCACAAGACTGGAAAGCACCAAGCACTGTGACACATGGCCACACTGAGAGGGCTATGGTCACGTACCTACGTACAGCTGCACAGGTCACCAGCAGCAGCACAAGCCGGGGACAGGCACAGTTTCACCAGCATATTTCAAGAGCAGCCTGAGCACACAACACTGCTTTCCTCACACCAACAGACAGTTGCGAGCTGCAAGTGCTGGGAACACCCAGCTGCACAGTGTGCACAAATCCCACTGCAGATGCAGGTCCTTTCAAACGGTGTGTATAAACCTGCAAAGCCTTTGGACACGGGGTTCTCCAGATCAGATGCACTCTGCTGGCATTCAGAGACGCCTACCTAGCACTCTCTTACAGTCTGCAGCCTCAAATCCTCTCTCCAGCTGGGTTCTGTTACACAGCTCCAGCCAGAGCAGCAGAAAAAAACCAAAGCAGAGACAGCAGCGCTCCTACAGCCTCATCCCCCCCTTTGTGGTATCCTCCTTCCATTAGGATTTCTATTCCAAGCTCTCTGTTAGACTGTAAGGGTCTTACAGACTCGGAGCAGTTATGTTGCTGTAGCTCCTTCATTATGCTTTTACATCTTG